TTTTTTAACTTTTTTCCCCTCCTTTTTTTTTTTTTTTTTTTTTTTTTTTTTAGGCAGACTCTCTCCATGTAGCCCAGCCTGGCTTTGAACTCTTGACAATCTTCCTGCCTCGGCCTTGCCAGTGCTGGGGTCTCTGGTGTGCGCCATCACACGCCCGCCCCTGTTAAAATGGAACCTGAAAGGCTGGGCTCACTGGTTTATGCCCGTAATCCCTGCTGGGAGGAAGCCTGCGGCAGGATGATCCCAAGGTGTCGGCAATTTAGCTTGACTCTGGCTCCAGGAAAAATACAGTATACAGAAAGGAGCAGGGAACAGAGCGCAGGGGTAGAGCGTCCTTGGTTCTGTCCCCAGCACTGGAAAGACAGAAACGTGATGAGAACCCGAGATGCCTCCTTTGAGTAACTCCGGCAGGGAGCAGAGGGAGGAACACGAGAGTCTCCGAACGGGAGGTGACCGCCGAGGACTCCTGACTGCCATCCTCCTCCTCCTCTCCTCCTCCTCCTCCGCGCCCTCCCTACTTCCCCCTCTCCCATTCTTATCACTCTCCCATTTCTCTTCTGGGAGCCCAAGGCCATTTTTCAGAATTATATCACAATCTTTCCCCAAATACCATGACAAATTAGAAGGGAAACTTCAGGGTAATAGTATGAACTATGAAGACAATGAATATCAGCACTGAAGTGCACATTTTTTCTTTTTTCATCTTTTGTTTTTTTGAGACAGTCTTGCTACGTAGTTCAGGTTGGCCTTGAACTCACTATGTAGTTTAGGTTAGCTTTGAATTTAGAGTGATCCTCCTGCCTCAGCCTCCCCAGTGCTGGGTTATAGGTATGGGCCATCACCTCTAGTTTTTTTTGTTACTATTATTATGACTATTATTATTATTTTGGTCTTTTTACGTAGGGTCATACTGTGCCGTTCGAACTGGCCTTGAGCTCAAACTCACAGCGATCCTCCTGCTTCAGCCTCCCAAGTGCTGGGATCACAGGCGTGAGCAAACACCTGGCTCATGTGAATGAGTTTTACGGTGAATGTGTGTATGGCTCCAGAATGACTGTCTTCAAGGCTTTGTATGTGTCTACTGGGATGGGCTTTTCGTGCTTCCTCTGTCAGCGAGGATGCCGTGTGGGCTGGAAATGCCTACAGGATCTAGGCTCCGGCTGAGGCTTCTGCAAATCTGCTTTGAGACAGTTTGTGCTTCCAAGCCTCAGTCTCTGCAATGTGAAATTCAGGACCAGATAATTTTCTCTCAGGTTCGGCCCAGTGAACCGTCACCATGAAAAGCGATCCGGGGCTTACGAGTCGCCTCTTTACTTCGTAATCTTTTTAGTAACAGGGGAAGGGGGAACTGGCAAAGGGCCTTTCGGAGTTCAGTGTGGGGCGGGCTTCCTCGGTGGGACTGGGGGGCGCAGAGAAGGCAGGCGGCCTGTTTCCTCTCACAAAGCCAGCGCCCCTCCTACTTTGCCTTTGTTTCCCTTTTCAGATCCAATAGAAACAATGATTACTCAGGACAAGGCAGGTGGTCAGGAGACGCTGGCCCGGCCGTTCCGCTTGGGGCGCGGGTCTTCATCAGAACTCACGGCGGCTGTGCTTCCTGCTCGATGCTCCGTGGGCCTGGGAGGAAGCTGCACGGAGGACAAAGCCTGGGCCCTGCAGAGGAGGTGGACGCGGCTGCTGCGGTCACGCACACACCTGGCTGCCACCGTGTAACCCAGGGACCACGTGCTGCACACTTGTGGCTGAAGGTGGCTCGGTCCCTCTCAGGCCTGCTCTCCCACCTCTCCCTCCTCTGGCCTTCTCCATTAGAAGCCAAGGGAAGAAATGACTTCTGAATTTTATTTATTTGTTTATTCGTTTATTTTATTTGAGACGGGGTCTCACTATGTAGCCCAGGCTGGCCCGGAACTCACAGTGATCCTCCTGCCTCAGCCTCCCGAGTGCAGCGATCACAGGTGTGTGTAACCACGTCCAACTCTGACTTACATTTTTTAAAATTAAGATGAATGGCTTTGGGTCCATTCCAATACAGGAACTCAGTGGCAGTTATAAAACAGTAAAAATGGGTCACAGAAAGATAGAGATTAGGTTAAAACATTTCTCTGAAATGTCCGCATCCATTTTTGGAGGGACACAGCTGTTACCTTCCTGTGATTCATCATTTTTGGAAGAGGGGCTTAGAATCAACATGAGAAATGATATTTCCACCAAAGACATTGTTTTCTTATATAGACATTATTTTTTTAAGATTTTATCTTGATTTTGTTTTGTTAGTACATGTTTGTAGCACATAACGTTACATTCCTTGTGGGGAGTGGTACATGTCCGTAACACATCGATACTCCTTTTCATACATTTTAAAATGCAAATCGGCCTTTTCCTCACGGTGCTTCACCATATCAGCGTGTGTGTGTGCGTGCACGCGTGCATGCGTGCACACCTGTATGAATGCACATTTGTTCATGTGTGTCTTTTCACACATAGGTATGTATGGATGGAAGAGGTCTTTTCAAGCATCTAGAATCTGAATCTCATTAGAAGTAGGTGACAAAATTAAGAGCGGTACAGAATAATAATAAAAATAAAGGTCAGCGATTTCACGTCACAAAACCCCTAGCCAGGCATGGCGGCACATCCCTGCAGTCCCAGCAGGGGAGGCTGAGGCAGGAGGGTTGAGATGAGTTGGAGGCCAGCCTGGGTGAGAATATATCTCAAAAAAAACCAAACAATGCTGCTTGCCTTGTAAGCGAAAGGTCCTGATTTTGATCCCCAATACCAAAAACAAACACCCCCCCAAAAATCAAGCCTCATTTTATAGTATTCTGATAGTTTCAAAACTATTATGACAGAATGATATTATACTCCTAAATTTTAATTTTTTTTAACTTTTGGAAAGGGTTGTCTTTTGAGAGAGTCTCGCTGTATAGACCAGACTGACCTCAAACTCCCAGTATTCTTCCTGATTCAGCCTCCTGAGTGCTGAGATTACAGGCATGCGCCACCACATCCGGCTAGCCTTAAAGAATTTTATGTGAACTCTGTCACCAAAAATCATCTGTAGAGGTTTTTGTTTGTTTGTTTGCTTGTTTTGGTTGTTTTTTTTTTTTGTACCAGGGATAAAAGTTGGGACCTTTTGCTTGTGAAGCAGGCAAAGAACCACTGAGCTAAATCCTTGGCCCATAGAGTTTTTTAAATAATATATACACAATCACTTCTTCATGAGGAATTAAGGTTTTTAATTTTGTTGGTTTTTTTTGTTTTGTTTTGTTTTTTTGTTTTTTTGGTACCGGAGATTGAACTCAGGCCCTTGTGCTTATGAGGCAGGTGCTGGAACCACTGAGCTAAATCCCCAGCCCAAGGTTTTTAATTTAAAAAAATTTTTTTGACACAGAGTCTTGCTATTTGGTTCAGGCTGTCCTTGAACTCACTATGTAGTCCAGGCTGGCCTCAAACTCAGGGTGATTCTCCTGCTTCAACCTCCTAAGTGCTGGGAGAGGAGTTAAATTTTAATGCATAAGTATTTCTGTTACTGTCAAACATTAGGATAAGATAGTATTTGCTATTCACATGGAAGATAAACTGTGGCTTATTAAAATTTTTAATGTTCATTACTCAAAAATAAAGTACATATTGTATTTTTTCTGAGTGTTCTTTTATTATATGTACTAAATTTTACGATGTTTAATGTATACTGTTTTTATTATTTTGTACAAGATAAAATATACAATAGTAAAAGAGTTCCTTGCTTTTGTCCTCAATTTACTATGTCAAATCAAGCAAAGTGGACACATCTCTCAAGAAAAAAAAAAAAACACCTAAGTATATTTTTGAATAAAAAAATGATTATTTTCAGTATTTTTCCCTAATAGACTAGCATTTATTATGGATCTTATTTCAAAGCTGATTATTCTCAGAAAAAAGCAGAGATATTAGAATTTCCCAATAAATTACATTATTTCAAAGTGCATCAATTCAGACTGTTGTCTACAATTGGCTAAAAATGCAAAAAGAGAAAAAAAAAGATTAATTTAGAAAACAAGGTACATAGCGTCTTCTAAAACATCAAATCTGGGGATCTGAGAGAACTTACAGATTCCGTTTTGGGGCATAATAGTGGAAATTTCTATCAAGGCCATACACAATTTAAGCAATCCCCCCCTTGAAAAACTTTAACCATGATAGGCATCTCTGCAAGGTAGGTTTTTAACATGTTTTTTCCTAATTTCCCCGCCTCCATTCAGTAAGAAGGATAAGCTTCTGGAGCAGCCAGTCACCGTGGTAACTGCCAAAAAAATTCCCCTGCAGTTTGAAGAGGTCAGCGGGCCGGGTGGGCAGCCCGGCCTGCGCGGGGCGTCGGGCTGATCCGACCCGAGAGGCGACCACTCCGCCTCGGATAGAGATTTCTCAAGTCAGTTCGTGGCCTGGACTCTCCAGGTGGCCTCCGAAATCGATTGTGACCCCCTGACCCTGTCTGGCGAGCCACGGCACCCACCCTAAGAGAGGGTGTAGCCGGGAGTGACAGCTGTCCGCGGGGCGTCCTTGGGGACAGGATCAGCAGTTTGGGGGAGCATTGGGGAGCCATTAAGAAATCTCTTTAATTTTCTTTTCCGAAAAAAGAGTTTGAGTCACCCATTCCTGCGTGATCTATGCGGTCTTTAACTCGAGGCGTGGATTCCAAGCCTTTTTTCCGTGCTTTGCTACAAATAGGCAAACGGGGTGCGCGGATCTGGAACAGTGGCCGTGGGGCGCAGGGTGGTGAGATGCGCGGGGAGGGAGGCCAGGGGTCACGAAGGCCGCGGCGGCTTCCGGGATTCTGCGACGCTACAATCTTGAGTTTAAAATGGGGAAATTAGAACAAAGGACGCCAAGTAAACGCAACACGGGAAACTAAGGAACATCAACGCCTCCCTGCAAGAAAGCAAGAAAGAGCCAAGGATGAAGACGAACTTGTGGCCTCCGGGTCCCCCGCCGATCTGAAAACCGCAGTTCTTCCTTGGGTCCGAGGGACGGAAAAGACGGACAGCGACAGCGGAGGGGTGAAAAGGTGCGAGCAGCTGCTCTGAGAAACTTCCCTACTCGCAAGTTTGAAGGAATCAAAAGCCTGGAAAACAAGCGTGCTGCGCGCCAACTCCCGACCACCCCCTTTCCGGG